CCTGAAAGGAGAGAGAAATGGAAAGACAAAATTATGGTGTTATCATCCCCCATGGGGGTGCTTCTCACTTTCTGTCACTCTCTCCATTTCTGTCTCTTTCCAGTGAGCGAGCAGAGGTGCCATCTGGTAAATTAAAAAAAAGATTCATGTGAAACATCATTTACCAAACTATGTTTCATGAAATAATCGTTCTTTTTTGGGGGAGAGGTTTTTGCTATAGGGTGTGTGCGCTCACCAGAAAGACAGAGACATAGAAAGCAAGAAATCCCCCCCCAGAGGGGATGGCCACACTGCAATCCCTTCTCCATTCTCCTCTCAGGATCTTGGGCACGCACACGTGCCCAGCATGAGTTTAAGCCACGGGGTCTGGGACTCGAACCGTGGTCGACTACATGGGAGTTTAGTGACATAGCCATTACACTAACTGCTGGTCCCATGAAATATTAGTTCTATGAGATATTGTTATGTATATTCAATTAAAAAATTGTGGTAGCACTATTTTTTCTAAAGTTATAGGTATATAAAATGTTAAGCTCACGTATGTAGTAATAATTATGTAATAGTCCCCTTTTTCCTTTTAGAGATTTTTTTGCTATGGAGCACATGCACTTGCTGGAGAGACAGAGAGACAGAAAGCAAGATATCACCCCCCAGGGGGATGGCCATACCATGATCCCTTCTCCATTCTCCTCTAGGGCTCTTGAGCATGCACGAGCATACTCCCTGCCTGAGTTTCTAACTGCCAGTCCAGGACTCGAACTGCGGTTGGCCACATGGGAGTTCAGCACCATAACCACTACCCACCTGGCCCTGATAATCCTCCTTTAATGACGACTTTACCAAATCCTAAAATGCAAGCAAATAGCAGAAAATTCACCTGATACCCGAATTGCCTGCTAGATCTTGTGAACTGGATCTTATTTATGGGCAACGCTTATCCATTAAACATTTCATGGTTTTTTTTCTTTCTTTCTTTCTTTTCATTTGAGGACTGAAGTCTGACTGCTTTTTCCTATTTCTAAAATCCCTTCCAGAGGGCCTGGGGTGAGTCCCACCCACAGACGTTAACAGGCCACTTCGGCCCATTTGATAACAAAATCTTCCTGCTTCCTGTCCCTGGCTTAGTATCCCTGCAATGGGTGAGTCGCACCCACAATCAGTAACACCATTTTGACTTTGATAACAGGACGCTTCCCAGATCCCGTCCTTGGGACAGTACCCTGTGACTGCACCAGCAGCCCTCCATCTCTGTCAAAGTACACTCCCTACTCCTTCCCAAACTCCCAAGTCCTGCTTCCACATGTCCCGCCTCTTTGGGCCAGGCCAGTGGAAAGCTCTTCACTAAATTCTCACTCTCAAAATCAAAGCAAAGGAGCCCTGCCCTGACCACTCCGAGACAGGGGCACGTTTTCCTCCTCTCCGGCCTAGGTCTTGGAAGTTCATGCTTAGAAACAAACCACATTAATTCTTAGTTGGTTATTTCAGTTGACACCTTTTAAAATTTTGCTCTGTGGCACGTGTGCTTGTCAGAGGGAGGGAAAGGAGACAGCGCCCTCCAGGGGGAGTGGCCACACTACAATCCCTTCTCCTCCATTTTCCTCTTGGGACTCTCAGTACACACATGAGCCCAGTGTGATTCTCAGGTCACCTGGTCTGGGACTCAAACCAGGCAACTGACCATGTGGGATCCAGCCACTGTAACCACCATGCCCCATTGCTGGCCCTTAGCCACTAAACATTTCAAATGTCATTTATCAACATGCAAGCTTGGGTTCTTAGTATGTTCTTCAATTAAACCTCAACTTACGATTGATACTCAATATCTATTATATGTTAAATCTCAAAGCAGATTTTACTGTATTTGTTTGTTTAGGTTTTTGTCATAGGTTGCATGCTCTTGCCAGAGAGAGAAGAGAAAAAGAGAAGGAGGGATTTTTTTTCAGTTGTTCTTTTTTTCTTCTTTCCTTCCTTTCTCCCCCCCTTCCATTTGTTTGTTTGTTTGTTTGTTTGTTTGCTTCTTTGTTTTAAGAGAGATTTTTGCTATAGGGCATGTGCGCTGGCTGGGAGAGACGGAGAGAAAGAAAAATCACCCCCAAGGGGGGATGGCCATGTAGCAATCCCTTTGGGCATACACACACATGTGCCCAGAGTGAGTTTTAAGCCACTGGGTCCAGGACTCAAACCATGATCGACTACGTGGGAGTCCAGCAACATAACCATTATGCCATCTGCTGGTCCTCTTCCTTCCTTTCTTTCTAGAGAGGAGGGCCCTTGTCGGGATCTCCATACTCCAGGGCCTCTAGCTCCAGGCCTCCAGCCAGCCAGGATCACATCAGGCTTGTTCAGGTTGATCTGGGATCTGAACCCAGGGCCTACCCATACGGCTTCAGCACTGCCCAGCAACACCCTGCACCTGTACCACCTAAAACAGATTTTTTTAAAAAGTATTGGAACTTAGGTATCCTTTTAAAGTAAGTTTGCATTTAGACCAGCATTGCTGAGTTCTGTATATATCAGAAATACTCAGTGCTCCAGGCAGGCCAGTGGGTGAGTGTGGAGCCCTGGAGGACTGTGGCCTGAGGAAGAGTTCATGGTTTCCCAGCCAGATCTGCCCCGGACTCTGTGCATCAGTAAAACGACTGCAACAAACAGAGCATCAAAGGGATTAGACGCAGCCTGACATAGGACCAGCAGAAGGCAAAATGGTTACATTGCTGGACTCCCATGTAGTCTACTATAGTTCAAGTCCTGGACCTGGCGGCTTAAAACTCATGCTGGGCACGTGTGTGTGCACACGTGCCCGAGATCCCCAAAGGAAAATGGAGGGGAAGGAATTGCAGCATGGCCATCCCCCTGGGAGGGTGATTTCTTACTTTTTGTCTCTCTGTCTCTCCAGCGAGCACATGTGCCCTATATCAAAAATATCTCAAAAAAACATAAACAAACAAAACAAGCTACAAAAACACAAAACACTGGCTATGAAGGTGTGAATCATCCCATAATCTTCACCCAAAAATGTCTCTTGAAGGTAACAATTTCAAGTTTGGCCCACATTTTCTGGAATTACATAATGATTATGCGTGAGAATTCTGGAAAATGTTATTTACTCAGAGACAGACGGAGGGGTCAGCCAGTGGCATGGTAGTTAAGGCTGATGTATCCCACAAGGCTGACTTCGTGACTGGAGTCCCAGACCCAGCGACTTGAAAAACATGCCAGGCACGTGCATGTATGTGCCCAAAATCCTGCAAAGAGAATAGAGGAGAAGGGCTGAGGGGTGGCCATCCCCCCTCCTCCAGGGGGTGATTTCTCACATTCTCTCTCCGCTTTGCCTCTCTCTGGTGAGCACATGCACCCTATAGCAAAAAATAAAGAGAAAAAAAAATTACAGAGATGGAGGAAGGGAGGTGGCGACCCACCAGCCTCAGTCGGTGGGCACATGCGCTGCGTGTACAGGCAGACCTCGGCCCAAGCCCAGGACCTTCCCATGCAGCTTCAGCATCAAGGAGCATCGCATTGCTGCCACGCCAACTGCGGCTGGCCAGGGAAGACGTTCCCTTCATGTCTGAGGTGTGAGTTTAAGCCACTGGGTTCGGGAGTCGAACCATGGTAGACTACATGGGAGTCCAGCGACATAGCCATTATGCCAACTGCTGGTCCCATCTGAATAGTTTCTTAAGTTTTAAACCACAAACCTACACCCTGCACAGTGGTTGGCTGTGCATGATGTCGGGAGACTGGATGGTTCCTCTCAGAGGTGCTTAGCCATGGCTTTGCCACTGGCTGCGGGAGGCTCAGGCAGTCTTGGCACGTCTTGGTCTTAATTTAGAGTTGAGTTTGCCTTGGTAAACCTGTCGAATTCTGAATAGTACAAAGTGGGTCCGGATTTAAACATTCTTACAATGTTATTGCTGGAGCCAGACTGTGGCATGATGGTTAAGGTGGCTGGATCCCACATGGCTGACTTCAGTTCAAGGCCCAGACCCAGAGACTTTGCCAGGCCCAAATGCATGCCCAAAATCCTGGAAGAAGGAAAAAATAGAGAAGGGATTGAGGCATGACTATGCCCTATGGGGTGCTTTCTCACTTTCTTCCTCTCTCTGGCAAGCATAAGTCCCCTCTGGCAAATTAGAAAGATAGTTCTCACTGCAGAGTAGATTTTGCAAGAGATTATTTTATTTATTATTTTATTTTTTTATGTTTAATCACTGTCCATCTTTACAGCAGACCAAACAGATTTTCCCATTATGAATATATGTTGTATTAGTCCAGTCAAAGCTATTACCATACACATTACCAACACCAGGTCACTTCCCACTTTTGAGTTCATTGCATGATTTTGCTTTTTTACCCCCTTGAGTCTCTCTTTCCCACCCCCAGTAAGAGATTACTAAACTATTTTCTTGGTGTTAGGAACCTTATACTCTGGTTATGGAAGGACACTTAAGCTTGTAAGTCATTGTATTTACTATTGATTATTTGGTCATATCATCACAGATCTTTGATTATAGTTTGTTGTGTTTTTTTATTAATTAATTTTTTTTTTTTTTGCTATAGAATGTGTATACTTGCCAGAGAGAGTCAGACAGAGAGAGAGGGGGAAGTGAGAATCACTCCCCGTTCTCCTCTCAGGATTTGGACACGCATGGACACGTGCCCAGCGTGCCTCTCAAGCCACCTAGTTGGTGACTTGAACTGCTCAGTCATGTGGGATCCAGCCACTGGGACCACCACAGCACTGGCTGGCTCTGGTTATACTACTGTAGACGTTTAGTTAATGAAAGAAAAACTTTCTTTACTTGAGTGTCTTCCTGATGAGAAATTTCCCCTGGACAATGATAGAAATGTGAATTATTTACTTTATGTCTCCAGTTGTATTTATGATAAGGGTTAAAACGTAATTTAGTTCAGTTCTGATAGCTAAGGATACCCCCAATATACCTGAGTGAAACTCGTTTTTGCATTATTCACAAATAGTTTAAAATTCAACTATAAAGAGATCATTTTAAACAGCTGTATTTTATTACGCTTTAATTCAAACCTTCCGCTGGTTCAGACCCGCCTTTCTCCCAAATGGACCCACAGGTCCTCACCTGGCAGCCGTGGGCTGGGCCTGGGCTCCTGACACCTGGCTTCCTGGGCAGTGTTCAGGACCCTCCTGCTGGCTGAGCACTGAGTTCCGGGGCGGACACCCAGATCTCCATCTCCGAATCCCTGCCGGCTGCAGTATTTGGTGATTTTTATTATTGTTTTTTGCAAGAGGGATTTTTCAAGCATAAGGATATGAACATTTCCTAGGGAACATAATGCAGGAGACCGCGGAAAGGTGGGTCCCTTAAGCACTAGTGAGGGTCCCCGACGCGGAACTTCTTACCGCAGGGCCTTAAGAGACAAGGAAAGAAGTCTTCGAGAACTCTCGGCGGGAGTCCAGACTCACGGGTGGGGGAGGCGCCTAGCAAGCGGAAAGGGGAAGGGGCCTTCGCGCAGAACGACTGCGTTTGTGAGCGTCGGTGAGAAGGCCACAGTCTGGAGCGCACCCTGCCTGGTGCGCACCCTGCCTGGTGCGCACCCTGCCTGGTCCGCCCCCGCAGGGGTACGCACAGTCCTGCTGCGCAGGAGCCAGAGGAAGGGACGCTCTGGGCGGCGCGAGCCCGAGCCCGAGCCCGCTGCAGACGCCGGTCCTCGTTTTCTTTCCTTGTAAAGTGAATTCCCGGGAGGTTCCGATGCTTTTGCTCGGTAGAGCAAGGGGAAATAAGACATTTTTTATGTATGCCATTGTCTTTGCTGGTGACAGAGCAGCGGTCCCCAGTGCGTTTCCGAGTCTGCTGTAACCGAATGAGAGGAGCGAAAGCTGCTCCCTTCGCTGCAATAACGAGCAGGAAGAAAAAGTGCTTGTTGCAAAGGGCTGATTATTAGAGGCCTCTGAGCGTTCTGCCTTCACCTGCTGAGCAGATCATGACTTCGAGTATGCAGGGATTTATCGCTGTGCAAGTGCATTCGCAAATTGTGAACACCTAAAAGATAGGAACCGACTAATATTGAACTACAGAGGTTGAGTCCAACAGGTAATGCAGTGGCTAGGATGCTAGACTCCCACGTGGCTGACTAGGGTTCACGTCTTGGACCGGGAGGCTTGCTTTTGCACTTTCTCACTTTCCGTCTGTTTCTCTGTCTCTCTCTGGTGAACACATGTGCCCTGGCAAATTAAAATAATAGTAATAATAATAAATAAAAATAATTATTTCAAAAGAACAAAACACTTGGGGCCAGCAGGTCACATGGTGGTTAAGGGTGCTGGACTCTCATATGATCGACCATGGTTCAAGTCCTGGATCTGGCTTGCTTTCTCACTTTCCTTCTCTCTCTCTCTGTCCCTCTCTGGTCAAATTAAAAATAAATAAGTAAATAAATAAAGTTAAATAATTTAAAAAAAAACAACTACAGAGGCTTGGGACCAGCAGTTAGCATAATGGCTATGTCGCTGGACTCCCATGTAGTCGACCACGGTTCGAGTCCTGGACCCGGTGGCTTAAACTCATGCCAGGCACCATGTTCACGCATAGCCAAGATCCCGAGAGGAGAATGGAGAAGAAGGGATTTTGCAGTGTGGCCATCCCCCCTGGGGGGTGATTTCTCACTTTCTGTCTCTCTGTCTCTCTGTCTGGCGAGTGCATGCGCCCTATAGCAAAAACCTCTCCAAAAAAAAAAAAAAAAAGAAACTACAGAGGCAAAGATGGAGTGTTTGAAGGGGTGCAGAATTATGAAAACTCTGGTGCTCTCCACCCCCCACCCCAGGAGCTATACCACTACACGCCCCTTGGAGGTGGCCCTGGTAGCTGTATGTGACTGGCATATTTTCCAGAGCTCTGATGAACTAGAGCTCAGGCTCCTGGGCTTTACAAGTACCACCTGTTGAGGAAACTCTACTCTTTTTTTTTTTTTTGGAGAGGTTTATGGTATAGGGCACGTTCGCAAGAAATCACGCCCCCCCCCCGGGGGGATGACCACGCCGCAGTCCCTTCTCCTCCATCCCCTCCATTCTCCTCTCAGGATCTTGGGCATATACACACATGTGCCCGCGTGAGTTTTAAGCCACTGGGTCGGGGACTTGAACTACGGTCGACTACATGGGAGTCCAGTGACATAGCCATTATGCTAACTGCTGGTCCCAGAGGAAGCTCTACTCTTACGAGACCAGCTGCAAGGAGGCCCTCCCGAGACTCAGGTGCCTGGAAGCTTGGGCATGCCCCAGAAAGAGAAGTGGAGGCAGACTGCAGAGCCTGCTTTTACTGTGGGTTTGCCACGAAGTCTGCATCCTGTGACTGAGTAACAGGATGTAGCGGGAGTGTGCATGGGGGTAGGGAGGTGACGACATAGCAGGAGCTCAAGACGGAGCAACACGCTGAGAGAGTGTGATTCGGTGTCCTCCTTCCCCAGACCCTTTGCACTGTGACCTGAAGTCAGCCGGCAGCTCAGGGTAAACACGCTTCACAGAGCAAGCCTGCAAGTACGCTAATTAGTTGGTGTAAGGATCAAACTCAGGCTGGCATGATTACCTAGTGGTTAAGGAGCTGGATCCTACATTACTGCACTTCATGTTTTTTTTTTTAAAGAGAGGTTTTTGCTATAGGGCACGTGCGTTCCCTAGAAAGACAGAGAGACAGAAAGCAAGAACTCACCCCCCAGGGGGAATGGCCACATTACAATCCCTTCTCCTCCATTCTCCTCTCGGGATCTTGGGTATGCGTGAACACAGCACCTGCCATGAGTTTAAGCCACCGGGTCCGGGACTCGAACTGTGGTCTACTACATGGGAGTCCAGCAATGTAGCCATTATGCCATCTGCTGGTCCCAATGACTGCACTTCAAATGCTGGCCCAGTGGCTTAAAAAATAGGCTGGGTCCATGTGCATGCATGCCTCAAATCCTGAGGACAGAGATCCAGAAGGGATTGTGCCGTGACCACGCCCCTTGCAGGGTACATGTTCTCTCTCTCTCTCTCTCTCTCTCTCTCTGGTGAGCACGTACACCCTCTGGCAATTAAATTAATAAATAAATAAAGATCAAACTCAGCTTCTACCCAGATTTTCTAAGATAAGCACTTTACAGAGAAGTGAACCTGAAAGGAGGTGTCTGGAGGATTTCAACTGCATCCGTCGGCTTTGAAACTGCATTATAGGAAGTTATTAGTAAAAATAGTCACGGGGCCAATCAAAGGCCAGGGTGGGGGAGGGGGAGTGGTGGGGAGGAGAGGAGCTGGCCTGCAGAACTGCACCAAGAAACAGGTCTGAGCAGGTGACCCGGGAGCTCAGGGAGGGCGGCTGTCAGGGAGGACCATGGAACCGAAGGGGCATTGGGTCAAATAGAGTCCCTCCAAATTCAGGCTTACCTGGTACCTGTGACTATGCCCTGGTTTGCAAAAGGGTCTTCGCAGACGTAATCAGACGAGGTCACGCTGGATTGCGTCCTCCTGGAAATCACATAAGGGAGACTTGTAAGGACAGTGACGCTGCCACAGAGGGAAGACGACCCATGAAGCCCAAGGCAGAGGCTGCGGGGATGCTGCCATGGGGGGATGCTGAGGACTGTGGATGTCTTAAGCAACAGACGTTATTTCTCACAGTTCTGGAGCCTGTGAAGTCCGAGATCAAGGTGCTAACAGGCTTGGCATCTGGCTAGGGCCTGCGTCTTGGCTTCCATAATGGCCGCCTTCTAAATGTGTCCTCATGTGGGGGGGGAGGGAAGCTCCATCTCCCCTGTCTCTCTTTTTTTTTTAATTATTTAAGTTTGTTTATTTATTCATTCATTTTTAATTTGGCCAGAGAGACACACACACAGAGAGAAAGAGAGAAAGTGAGAAAAGCAAGCCACCAGGTCCAGGACTTGAACCGTGGTTGGCCATGTGGGAATATCCAGCGCCCTAACCACCATGCCACCTGCTGGTCCCTCCCCTGTCTCTTATAAGGGCACTAATCTCATTACGGGGCCCCACCCTCATGGCTTCATCTAAACCTTATCACTTCCCAAAGGTCCTGCCTCCTAATAGCATCACTGGTGGGTTAGGATTTCACTTATGAATTTTGGAGACACACATACTCAGTCCATCACAGTCGGGAACTGCCAGGAACTAGAAGAAGCAAGGAAGGACTCCTTCTGTGATCAGACTCCTGGATTTCAGACTTCTGGCCTCTGGAGAGAATGAAGTCTGTTGTTTGAAGCTGCCCAGTCTGTGGCCATCTGTGGGCAAGTACTCCAGGAGAGAAGTCATCCGGCTGAGCTGTGGAGTGCGTCTGCCTCTCACACCTTCAACCCCACACCGGTAAATACCTAAGTAAAGTATATCTAAGCCAAATGCATTTTCCAGAAACTTCTGTATCCAAAACATCAAGTTCACAGAGACTTCTCCTCAGGCTCTGTCTGACGGTTGCTTCTGGAGGAAGGAGCAGCACCTGCCTCCTCCAGTTCACTTCTGCCTGGAGACGGTGAAACCAGAATAGCAGCTTGGCAGATTCTGGGTAGTGAAGGTCATTCCCTCTTTCTAGAAAAGACTTCGACAATCAGAAATCACATGTGGGAACCAACAGATGGCATCATGGTTACTTCACTGGGCTTCCACATGACCAACCATGGTTCAAATCCTAGATGTGGAGGCTTGCAACTCACGCTGGGCAAGTGCACATGCATGCCCAAAGTCCCAAGAGAAGAATGGAGAAGGGATTTGGCATGACCATCCTCCTGGGAGGTGATTTCTCGCTTTCTATCTTTCTCTCTCTGGCAAACACACATAGCAGAAATCTCTCTTTAAAAATAAAAGAGAGAGAGAAAGAGAGAAATCACATGTGGGCTTCAGGGACCACCAGGCATGAGGGGCCCTGGGGTCAGTGAGGAAGGAGAAGTTACAGTCATTGTGAGGGAGGGAGGAATTAATCGACTTTGCAAATCCAATTGGGCCCCTGTGGACTATAAGAAATGAAGGTAACCTTCAAGTAAATCAGCTATGGCCAAGTACATAACCTTTTTATTAAAATTTAAACATCTCACTCTGGTATCTAAAGCAAGGGGCTTTAGCTTGATGGCTTTCTGCCTCTGACCTCGCTAGGCCAGAGCTGAGTGTCCTGAAGTGGTGGCTTGGAGTCACGGCTGCTCCCCTGGGCTGAAGTGCCCTAGAACCCCAGGAGCCTGGGATAGGGTGAGTGAGTCCACGCAGGTTTGCAAATATGCCCACCCAACCCCGGGTGCCCTGCCCTTCTCCATGATGGGGGCGGGGTGGGGGTAAGGGGGTTGCCCAATTGCACCAAGGCTTTCCAGACTGGGTACATTATAATGTTCATGAATAATTTATGTTAGTAAGTCCATTTATGTTAATGAACAGATGCATATTCTGGATATAGTCCTCTGTCAGGTGAGATGCTGCATTTGGCTATGGCGTTCGGGTTTCCAGTGTGCACCTCACGTACATGTGCCAGTCTTTGCTTTATTTTATTTATGTTTAAGAAATAATTATTTATCTTTATTTATTCATTTCTTTTAATTTGATCAGAGACAGACAGAGAAAGAGAGAGAGAGAGAAAGAGAAAGTAAGAAAGCAAGCCATCAGGTCCAGGACTTGAACCATGGTTGGCCATGTGGGAGTGTCCAGCGCCTTAACCACCATGCCACCTGCTGGTCCCGCCATTCTTTGTTTTATTAAAATGACCATGTTCAGAGAGCTGAACGGAGGCACAGTGGTAGGACATGATGCTCTGTGAGGCTGACCCACAGGAACGTTCTGGGTTTGCACCTGGAGACCTGTATGCACACAGGCACGCGTGTGCTCATGGCCTGGGGTTGGCAGAGACTGGGTGGGTCATGGCAGTAGGACCCTGTTGGGGGTGCTGTCACTCTGTCTGACTGTTTGTCTCTGTCTCTCTTGCTCATAGAAAAAATACATAAAAACATTTTTAAATGACCATTTTACTTTCATAGGTTCAAATTCCAGCTCTACCCCAACTCACTTCCCATACTCTGTGTCTCTCTTTCTTCTGTAAAATGACCACATGGAGTGCACCACCTTGTTGGGCTCCCATGAGAATCCAGTGACTTGAACGCTTCGAGGGGCTTCTGGCGCAGGGCGGCATGCGAGCACCCTCACTGCCAGTTTACGAAGCTGCAGTGGAGGTGGGAATTGAGGTGCCCGGTAGGGGCAGGGCGGGCAGCACTCTGAGGGCTACTGCATTTCCGTAGGCTGCCCTACAGGGGAGGAAGGAACACGGCAAAGCCACGTGGTAATCATGGCAAAGCCACGTGGTAATTGAGAAACTTGAACTTGAAAATAAATGCGGAGGTCCTGGAGACTGAAGCATTTGGTAGAAACGGTTCAGAGAGGTGCTCTCTGGAAGAGTCGGTGACCGTGAGGCTGGGGTGGCCAAGGAGATAGGGCCGCCTGGTAGTTCTGGCTGTCCTGCAGGCCTGTGACCTGTGTGACTTGCCTAGCTGAAGGCCTGGGGCTAGCAGACTTCCTCGGGAGGCCCAGTGCAATGCCAATGCAGCCTTCTATTCAATGCAGGAGGATAGGCGTCAACTGCTACAGGGCCAGCGTGCCATACCTGCCTTCCTCCCAGGCCTGCACGGCGTCTTTTATTTGCTCCTCAGGGTCGTGCTCCCTCTGGCGTGAGGTTACTCCCAGAGGAGCCGGGGGTCCTGGGACCTTTCCCCTGAAGATACGGCGGGCCACCTGTGTTTCTGGGCACGTGTCAGCTCCTGGATCTTTCCCCGTTCTGGAGGGGCCTATCAGCCCTTCCCATGGGCCCGTCACTCTCACTCAGTGGATCAGGACACCAAGGGAGGACGACTGCCGTGCCCAGACCCGCAGGCACCTAGAGGAAGCATGGACAGAGGTTCTTTCTCTTCAGCTCCCTGTGGAGGACACCGTGGCACAGCCTGCCTGGGGTGAGGATGGCTGCCACCATGTGCTGCCCCGAGTTGTCACAGGGCACCAACACTAACCTCCCCACAGGTACGTCCAGGTCCCAGACTCTAGTCTCCCGTAGTCAATCAGACCTCATTTACAAAACACAGATTCAAAAGGAAAAAGATCAGGACCACGGAGCATGAAACCCACACGCGGGGCCCTCCCAGCACGGGGCCTGTGTGTCCCGAGAGAGCTGGCCCACCTCTCCTCGGGATCCGCAGCTCCCTGTGCTCGTCTCCAGCAAGGAAAGTCTGCACACAGATGCCCACGTGCCCGGAAATGCAGTCGTCCCTCGGTCTCCACGGGAAGTTGGTTTCAGGGCCCTGCGAATACCAACATCCAGGAGGCACAAACCTCTTATTTAAAACGGTGTAGTTTGCATCTAACCTTCCACATCCTCCTGTACACTTTAAATCAACTGTAGAGTACCCATAATATCTGGTATGATTTAAATGCTATGGACTTGGTTGTTACACGGTATTGTTTAGGGAATAACGACAAGGAAAGAAAAGTCTGTGGGTCAGCCCTGTAGCCTAGTGGTTAAGGGCACTGGATTGCATATGGCTGACTGTGGTTTGGGTCTCAGCCCCAGTGGATTGAAAAACAGGCTGGGTGCTTATGCCTGTGTGCCCCAAATCTGGACAGGAAATGGACTGAGGCATGACCACGCCCCTGGGGGGAGCGTTTTCTCTCACGCTCTCTGGGAAGTGCATGAGCCCTTTGCCAATTCAAAAAAATGAAAAGAACCTGTACCCACTCAGCGCAAGTGTAACTATCACAGGCCACCAAAGTACACTTCAGCGGCCATTTTCCACCTGTGGCAGGATGCTGGCCCGCAGAGGCAGAGGACTGGACACAGCTCTCTGGCCGGTAACTGGTTCTGCCTAGCTCTCAAGTCCCTGTTCTTGCCAACAGCAGGTGAAAGAAAGAAGTAAACAACGTGGACGCGCTCACCCACGCTCACTCGGTCTCCTGTGCCTTCAGAAACTTCCTTCCTGGTTAATGTGTCAAGACTGAAGTTCAAGCAAGCTCAGGTCGTGTTCCCTCCCAAGACGCCCTGCTGCTTCTTCCCAGCATGGTGCCGGGGTGCAGGGTGAGTCTGGCAGCCCCCTGGCTCCTGTCTCTGGTCACCTGGCTGGGCAGCTCCTGGGCTTTCCTCCTGGTGCCTGTGGAGGTGCTGCCAGCCGTGGGCCCTGGGGTCCCAGCCCGGGGCTCCAGCCTGGCGTGGGCCCCAACCCCTACCTTCTGATCTGCTGGGACCTGCACTGCTTTCCCCGGCCCACACTGGAGGGTGCAGGATCTGTGAGACCACCTTCCAGCCCACTCTCCCGAGCCTTCTCAGTCATTTCCGAACCACGGCCCGGGCAGCCCAGTGTCGTTCCTGGGCCATGCATGCCTCGGGCCTGCCTCTGTGGTTTTGATCCAGAGGAGGGACTCAGCACATTCGTGTCTGATCTCCGGTGTCCTCCTACCCAGGGCAAATGTCCCCAAGTCACGTCTCCTGGCCTTGTACGCTGCTC